CTGGTTGCCAGGTTCAATCATTAAAGAAATCCATATTTGTAGATAAATAAAAACTTAGTCTATTCTGGTGACCAAGTAAGAATTTTAATTTAGGGATATTTCGATTTAGAGACCTTTTTGTTATAAGATATACGATACATAGCGTAATTCAATGTCATCTTACGTCTCTTATCACATTGTATCAATTCGGTTGCCAGATGACGGTGTAAGAATACATGTTCTGCGATCAAAAACACAGTAAACACACCACTATATTTATAATTTAGAAGATACAATTCTTCTCCGGATTAGGAATATTATTTTCCTGTTAATTTAAAATAAACGTAAAATAAATTTGAATTATTTTTATTCGTAATTTAAATTTGAAAATAAATATAAATTGTAGACAATTTAATTTATGTAGAATATAAATTAAATTAAACTAAATTATTCAATTTCTTTCTGATATTTCATCCCAGTAAGAAGAACAACGGAAATAAATGCGTCGAATTTCAGCAAAAATAAAATGGTAAAAAGCGTACATGTAAACGCGTTCATAACGCCTTAGATTTCTGACCGGATATATACTCGTTCGAAAACTTTAATGCGATGTGAACGCATAAAAACGTATACTTTTTACGATTTTATTTTCGTTAAAATTTCGACACGTTTTTACGCGTTTTTTCCGTTGTTCATCTGACTGGGATGAAATATCAGAAAGAAATTGAATAACAGCGAACATCCTATTCATTCTCGTCTCTTCAATTGATTTCTGATTGGATCATCACGACGAACCCGTTCGAAGTGATAATGTTACCAACAAAACAATCCGTCGAAATCAATTGAAATCGTTTCGATTATATTTTGAAGACCAGTTAATCTCTCGTGCTCAACAACTTAATAAATAAATTTAGTTCGGTTAACACCAATCGAACGGACAGAAGCCCGAACGAAATACATCGACAACTCCATGTTAAAGCAATTTATTATTTTGATGTGAATGTATTGATACTTGCTGGCTACTTTTTACAGCAAGGAGCAGAGATTTCTATCGAAAATAAATAAAATCCTATATTCTGAGATAAAAATCTCTAAAATTCTTATATAAATCATGATGATGGTGTGAATGACACCAATGAAGATGAGGAGTGACAATGAATGAGAAAAATTTCCTTGCGTACGATAAAACTCGCTAAGCAAATTTTTATTTTATGGCTAAGAGATTTTTCTATTTTTCGATAAAAATGTCACCTCGCCCTCATTTTCTAATCCAATAAACGAATAAGCCCATACATATGGTTTATCAAGTAGATGAATTCAATACCTAGAGGGCAATAAACCAATGTGGTCGCTCTCTCTCATCTACGTCATTTCGCAGGTGGAACACTGCCTCATAGTCCAGAATGGTGTGTTTTTTTGTGCCCGATTTTCATATAATATTTGTCGTCATCTTTCTTTCACAAGCAAGCGAAAGACAAGAAAACAAACACTACACAAAATCAAAGACACATCATAGGGTCAACGAAGCGATGGACTGACTACCTGTGTCCACCTTGTTTATCTTTCGTTTCTTTGCGTACAGATGTATTGAAATGTCATATATGTACATTGGTTTGTTTCATTTCTCAGTAAAAAAAAATGCAATACAGTAATTGTCATTGTATGGTCCAAAACAGAAACATCGATATAACTTGCTGTATATAACATATTCCTATTTAAATGAAGTTCAATTAGTTTTTACAGATCCTATGAAAATTTATGTTTCAAAAGTCGCTTTTCTTTTCGAACAGTAGAACCAAACTAGTTAGCTTTTTTCTAATATTCACAAGAGGATGTGATAGTTCGATCGAAGTCTTGTTACTTTTTGCCATGAAAACATAGCATATAGAAAAGCAAGGACTTATGTTCAATGGATATTGAACTTACAGAAAAAGAATAGTAAAGTAGAATCGTATTCCAGATCTGTATGTCAAATTTAGAAACGCCATGTAATAATGAAATTTTGTGATCGATGTGAAGCTAGCACGACGACCAATCAGGGATGACCTTTCCATCAACCAATCAGATATCGCGCATTCTTTACCAGGCATACTCCATAAAATACCTCATATCACCTCCTTAGCAACCAACTCCTTTTCCCCACTAACCAATGAAAAGTTACTGCCTTTTCAAAACCAACAACCAAAAACTTTATAACAGACATCAAAAAAACTATTCCACAAAGAAAAAACTTCATTCATAAATTAATATGAATCAGCCACAGCACGACGAATTACCACGACGAATACACAGTGCCACAATTCCAAACTTATTTTCTCTCCTCAGGAATATCTCCCGACGATGAGTTATACTTCATTTGATTCAGAATTTAATTCTGCATTCAATGATGTATAATTCAATGAAGGGACATATTTCGGAAGAGAGCACCATTCGTTCCGAATATCGGTACGATCGTAAAAAAATATGTCGTTGAGATATTTCAACGGCTATTTTCTCTCTTCAAAAATATGTCCCGTCCATCATTTATACATCATTTTATGGGGAATTTAATTCTGTATTCAATGATGTATAATTCAATGACGGGACATATTTCGGAAGAGAGAACCATTCGTTCCGAATATCGGTACGGTGGAAAAAAAATATGTCGTTGAGACATTTCAACGGCTATTTTCCCTCTTCAAAAATATGTCCCGTCCATCATTTATACATCATTTGATGCAGAATTCAATTCTGTATTCAATCATGTATAATTAATTGACGGGACATATTTCGGAAGAGAGAACCATTCGTTGCGAATATCGGTACGATGCTAAAAAAATATGCCGTTGAGATATTTCAACGGCTATTTTCTCTCTTCAAAAATATGTCCCGTCATTGAATTATACATCATTGAATGCAGAATTAAATTCTGCATAAAATGATGTGTAAATGATGGACGGGACATATTTTTGAAGAGAGAAAATAGCCGTTGAAATATCTCGACGGCATATTTTTTTAGCATCGTACCGATATTCGCAACGAATGGTTCTCTCTTCCAAAATATGTCCCGTCAATTAATTATACATCATCGAATACAGGATTAAATTCTGCATAAAATGATGTGTAAATGATGGACGGGACATATTTTTGAAGAGCGCAAATAGTCGTTGGAATATCTCAACCGCGTATTTTTTTTCAATCGTACCGATATTTCGAACGAATGGTCCTCTCTTCCAAAATATGTCCCGCCAATTAATTATACATCATTGAATACAGAATTAAATTCTGCATAAAATGATGTATAAATGATGGACGGGACATATTCTTGAAGAGAGAAAATAGCCGTTGAAATATCTCAACGGCATATTTTTTTAGCATCGTACCGATATTCAAAACGAATGGTTCTCTCTTCCGAAATATGTCCCGTCATTGAATTATACATCATTGAATGCAGAATTAAATTCTGCATAAAATGATGTATAAATGATGGACGGGACATATTTTTGAAGAGAGCAAATAGTCGTTGAAATATCTCAGCGGCATATTTTTTTTTCACCGTACTGATATTCGGAACGAATGGTTCTCTCTTCCAAAATATGTCTCGTCAATTAATTATACATGATTGAATACAGAATTAAATTCTGCATAAATGATGTATAAATGATGGAAGGGACATATTTTTGAAGAGAGAAAATAGCCGTTGAAATATCTCAACGGCATATTTTTTTTCCATCGTACCGATATTCGAAACGAACGGTTCTCTCTTCTGAAATATGTCCCGTCATTGAATTATACATCATTGAATGCAGAATTAAATTCTGCATAAAATGATGTATAAATGATGGACGGGACATATTTTCGAAGAGAGAAAATAGCCGTTGAAATATCTCAACGGCATATTTTTTTTCCATGGTACCGATATTCGGAACGAACGGTTCTCTCTTCCAAAATATGTCCCGTCAATGAATTATACATCATTGAATGCAGAATTAAATTCTGCATAAAATGATGTATAAATGATGGGCGGGATATATTTGTGAAGAGAGAAAATAGCCGTTGAAATATCTGAACGGCATATTTTTTTACCGTCGTACCGATATTCGGAACGAATGGTTGTGTCTTCCGAAATATGTCCCGTCATTGAATTATATATCATTGAATGCAGAATTAAATTCTGCATAAAATGATGTACAAGTGATGGACGGGATATATTTTTGAAGAGAGAAAATAGCCGTTGAAATACTTCAACGGTTTATTTTTTTTCTCTTGTGGCAATATTCGGAAGGAATGGTTCTCCATTCAGAAATATCTCCCGTTTATGAGTTATGCATCATTCGATGCAGAATTAAATTCTCTAGAAGTAGACGTATAACTCAATGTCCGGACAATGGATAGTGTGGTGCACAAATCGATTTTTTGTGAAAATTGTTCACTTTTGCTTCGTGGTGCTAGCTTCACACGCATTTGTGTTGGTAAGGCCGCCATTTCCAAAGAATTGACCTCCGCTTGGAGTTTTTTTCGTTTTGGATTTTATGATTGGCGATTCATACGACCAATCAACTTTTGTGGCTCGTCGTGGTAATTCGTTGTGTTGTGCTAGCTTCACATCGATAATTTTGTGATTTGTCAAAATTGGCCTTTTGAAAAATATCTAAGACTAAATTATCGCATTATTTGCAATTAATATAACTTAAATTTAATCGGAGTTGAATATTTCTTTTAATATTTGAATGCTTACTTTTTCAGTAACAATGTTTTTCGTTTCCATATTTCGTAAATTTAAAATAAAATATCGAGATTTTCTTGAAAATAAAAGAAAAAGATAGATTGAGATCAAACAAAAATATTAGGAATGAATTTTTGTACTCAAAATTAAGCAAATAATATTACAAAGCGATTCAAATGCATTTTAGCTAGTGGCTAACAAAATGAAAATATCTATATATACTATTCTCGGACTGACTATTCTGGTTCATCTCACTATATCAAAACATAAGACGTCGCGATCGCTGGATCTTCTAACAGCCACTATTCCTGAACTTATGGATGCTATGCATAACAACAAGATCACATCAAAACAACTTGTCGAATTGTATTTACAACGTATTGATCAAGTAAATTTGAAAGGACCTTCTCTTCATGCCTTGATCGAAACGAATCCAGATGCTTTGACTATCGCTGATAGACTTGATCATGAATGTAATCGAAGAGGAAAATTACATGGTATTCCAATCATTGTCAAAGATAATATGGCTACTTATGATAAACTAAATACTACTGCCGGATCTTACGCATTGCTCGGTTCTAAAGTATCACGTGACGCATTTGTTGTACAACAATTAAGAAAAGCTGGTGCAATCATTTTGGGTAAAGCAAGTTTGTCGGAATGGTCTAATTTTCGTAGTTTAGTTGTCCCGAGAAACGGTGTCTCGGGACGTGGTGGCGTTTCAAAATCGGCCTATGTAACTGATGGTGATCCGTCTGGTTCGAGTTCAGGTTCGGCAATAGCTGTTTCCATTGGTCTCTGTACTGTAGCGTTGGGTACAGAAACAGATGGAAGTGTAGTTGCACCAGCTAGTCGAAATGGTATTGTAGGACTGAAACCAACAGTAGGGTTGACATCGCGCTCGAATGTGATACCGATTTCATTTAGACAGGATACTGTAGGGCCGATGGGTAAAACAGTGACGGATGTAGCATTGCTACTAGAAGTTATTCAAGGTGTAGATCCAAGAGACAATGCTACGTTGAAAAGTCGACCAGAAAAGACTTATACCCAATTTTTACGTGGAACAAAGGGATTTAAAAATGTTCGTTTGGGCGTAATTCCACCATTTAACTTTACAAACAAGACTGCACCATACATTGTATCTACATTCAATAAGGCAATTGAGCTAATGTGTTCCTATGGCGCTATTGTGCAGAATCCCGTTAATTTTACTAACATGGATCAACTTTTAAACCAAACAACTGAACTCGACGTTCTTATTGCCGAATTCAGACAGAATATTAATAATTATCTCAGTACGTTAACCAATACTAACATGCATACTTTACAAGATCTTATTAATTTTAATAATGCACACAAAGACTTGGAATTTTCTCCTTATCTTCCCGATCAACAATTATTTATATTGGCACAAGAAGCACCACCTCTCTCAATTGAACAAGAAGCTGAATACATCCGTCTATCTAAAAGCCTTAATCAAACAATTGACATATATAATTTAGATGCACTGGTCGCTATGTCAGAAGATTACGCTCCTCTAGCGGCTGTTGGTGGTTATCCCATCATTAGTGTACCTTTAGGTTATTTGCAAACGGCAGGAGGTCCACAACCGTTCGGTATACAATTTATGGGTCGTGCATGGAGCGAAGGAATTCTATTGCAACTAGCTCATGCATTCGAGCAAGCGACACATGTAAGAGATAAAGTACGACCAATATATGCTCCTTCATAAACTGTTTTTTAATATTTTACTTAAATATTTTATTGTCTTCTATTGTTACATAGTGCTTCACTTCTCTTCTTTTCAATTCAACTATTATACATATATGTTCTTGTTCTTTTCTTTTTCTGTTCAGCTGTTGCATGTATGTTCTTTTTCGTCTTACCTATTTTTCTTCACTGACGTCTTCCTTGAGTAAGAACTATTGTCTTGATTCTCTTTCTATTGTTCATTATTCAAACAGACGGAAGAAGCCTCTCGACTTCTTCTCCAGTCTGTCTATTGTCTCTCTCCTGTATATATACTTGCTGTTTTCTTCAATAGAGAGATCAGATATTCACTCATCTAAAAGGCGTTGTATATGTAACTTCTATTATGCATATTTAATCAATCGTTTTATTTCGGTAGTTAGATAATTAATCAAAAGAACGTTCACTTTTTTTTTCAATTTGTCTTTGAAAATAAAAAGTAGACTTTTTTGGACGAGTTATAAACGGCAAATCTGATCAAAATTACGAATTAAAATGAATAATTTAATCTTATTGCGTAGAAAAACAAATATCTATACGACGTGTAATGTCAATCTTAATTCATTTCTCGCCGAAATTATCAGAATAATAAAGTAATACAGAAGTCAAATTGATAGATGCGATTGGTGACCTTTGTCCCATAACCGTTGTTAAGTCTTGTTGTTGACATTCAATATGATTTTCGATTTGATGATGATCTTTGATCTGATTTGACATCTTCGGGCATCAATTGACGGGACTGTGTCTCATCGCCAAAAGGATTTCGTAAAATCGATGACGAATAGAATAAAAACTGCGCTATCTGTATAAGAGTAGTTCAATATCTGAGTTTTCAAATGAGAATGCTGAATAGAAGAACATGGGTGGCACTTGATGGAGTATTTTTTGATTTAGTACTATCCGCTGTGAAGCTATTTGAAGACATCATCGTCATGGGATTCGTGGACATAGTTGTCGGCGCTGTAAAGACTGTTGAGCCACTTGAAGATGTTGAGACAGTTGAGAATGTCCAAATAGTAGTTGAGTTACTCGAATTACTTGAAAGGAATGATACAGCATAGGACAACACTCTGTTGGCCGTACAATTCAGTCCAAACAACGGGTAGTTGTCTGGTCTGTAACATTCCACTAGATAAGGATATGTTCGAGTGGTAAAATAGGCATAGTTACCGTTGAGGTCATAAAACGTTCCATTACAAATATCGATACTTGAATAAATAAGAGTACCTAGCCGACAGATAAGCCCCATAAACCATATGTCCGTCTCTGGCAATGCCAATCACTGTCATCATTTGATAGGAAGCAAATCCTGATATCGAAAAGTTAGATGGACTCACATTGCAGGCACTATTGTTAGTACACCTTGGAACACTGCCATTTGGAAGAATGATCATGCAGTTGGTTGCTGTATGGTAATAATACATACTGGCGGCATCACAGTGAGATAAACAGGTATCGACACTCCCGAATGGACAGCCCGCGGGTGGATAAAATGGATTACAATCGTTGTTGGAATCTGGATTAAAAAGCATCACATCATCAATTTCCATGCCTGCTCCTGCAACCGAATTTGTCGTACCGAAGTTGATAAAATTGGGTCCTGATGGAGCAGCTCCTTGACCAATCAAGAAACAGACAAGTATCGAAAGAGCGGATGTTGTAGTCATATTATGATTGGATGAATTGATACTGACAGCAGGATTGAAGTCGACCTTGAGATCGACATCTAGTACATTGAAAGCACACGAGTGGATTGTTGGACAATATGGAGGAACACTATTGGTTTAAATACGAATTTTCGTAACACCACTGACATACCGACAAACAGCAGTCAATATTCGTTGCTATACACAACTGCTATTATTGATTTCAGACCCTGGACAAGTGCCATTGCTATATGCGCAGGTGTACGAATGTACAGTGTCAGTGAAAATACTGAAATACTGATACACCAATCAACGATATGGTGTTTACTGAAACACTGACTATACTGTCATCAGTGTCACTGACACTGAGATTACACGGACACCGCTCAAGTGAGCAAGAATGACTAGTCCGGAATTTTTGGCCGTCATGAAGCCTCGTCTAAATTACCTGATTGATGGGCGACATCATACGTGTCTAGTCTAGTCTTTTTTTTGCGAAGGCCTAGTCTAGGACTTGTCCGAAGTCGGTTTATACGAAACATTATTATCTATTGTGCAGACTAGTCCTAGACGAGGACTTTTTGAGACAAAGACTAGTCAGGACGGACGACAGCGACGCCCGTCCCAAATGAATTATGAAACTGAAAAAGTAAGGACGTCAGGGACGGTACATAGGACAATTAGTAGTCTTGTGTGTAGTGGACGAGTCCTGCCTAGTCTAAACAGAAATATGTAAGGATGAGGATTAGATTCGAACATGCATACAATGTATTACTTACCCATCGTTTAGACCATTGAGCTATATGATCAAGAAATTAACTTCTACATGTTTATAATCGTTCTAAGACGCTATTTAATACAATTTTACTCAAAGTTGTTTTATGTTCACATTTAAATAAAAAATTATTTTTTTACAGAATACGACATTATTTGGACAACATTAAAAAAGTAAATTCAAAAAAATTTGCATATTTTTTGGAAAAATGTCTTTTGATTATCATTAACTAGGAATAATTAGTTGTATTTAAAAAAATAAATTTTAAATATAAAAATAAAAACAACTATTTATATTCAAAAGAAACTAGATTTTTCCATATGATAGTTTAGTTTTAAATTAAAATGATCGTATCTTCAATTAACAATTAAACTAACTTTGCTTAATTTAAATATATTCTTAAATTTAAAATAATTAGAATTTATATTTTAAATAGAATAACATAAAATTACTTAGGGGTAACCAAAAGTTCGTAGTCCGATATTACTGAGATGTATAATAAGCTTTGAGAAACTTTCTTTCTATGTAGTCTGATAGAGAAAAGAATGCACTATTGTTCTATGCTATTTGATCATACTTCAACTAATATGATGATAATCAATTTTCGGTAAAATTTTGACACTTGAAGCGCACTTTTCTCTGCCATAAAAAAAGATTTTTAAAATTCTTATTACATATTTAGAATTAGCATTAAAGACTTCATCATCCTACATAACTTTTGTTTTTTTAAAATTTCTAATGGTCAAAACAAATTCATGCACTTATACATACATTGAACATACACGAAATCTTGAGATGATATTATCTCAAAAACAAAAAATAATACATCGCCGAAACTTTCTTAAAAACTTACTTATATATCCAGCTTCCTTTTGATATTATCGCGATTTTAAAATTTTTCAGGGGTGTCCAAGAACTGAGGAATAGGAATTCCTACTCAGTTCCCTGACATTTCCTTGAATGCTAAAATTAAAAAAATACAATATCCAAGGTATTTATTACTCTTACACTCGTTTTCATCAAGAAATGAGTGCACATGAACGTATGAGTACGAAAATTATTGCAAAAAAAGCATTATCTTGACTCTCATGAATGAGGGAACTGTGATGGAAATAATGGTCAATTCCCATTTCCCCAAGGAATTATCATAGCTACACTGACAATTCCTCTACAAATTAGGAATTACTATTTCTCAGTCCTTGGACACTGCTGCAAGATTCAGAAAAATCTTTCAAATGAGTGAAGATCTCATACATAAACAAATCTGCCTTTATCTCATCATTCTGAATTCAGATCTAACAACAACGATGTAACAATTCGTTTTGAATTCATGATTAGAATTTAGTGAGTTGTACTTGGAACAAGAATGGCATCTCTGAAACAACTTTCTGGGTGAAGCACCGACAGTGTTACTTGAATCAGCTGCTAACTTCACCTACGTTTGAATCTCTGACAGACCAGATTTGAAAAGAAAGTTTATTTATTGGGTGTGGGTGGGTGTAAGTATGAGATCTTAACATGTTCACCCTCACCCTCACGCACACCCTCGTATAGATTTGATAAATATATAAACAAAAGAATTGAATATTTTCCATGAAAACACTCTATAACTATATCTATTTGAGGACATAAAACATAGATAAATCTCGGTTAGCTCAATGGCGTGGTATACAGTACAGAATGCATTAGAAGGTTTGATTTTATTAGTCAAAGATTTCTGACAGTCAAAATGACAAAATCGGTAACATAAAATTGAATTTTGTATGAGGGTATACAGACAATTTTGTTTCATAACGACCTCCTCCCTATTGTAAACTTCGTTGTTTTTTCAAGTTTTGAAGTGATTAAAATGAAGACAGCATAAAAAGTTAGCCGCTAATCTATTCGATAAGCTGATTTTATTCATTACAGCTGCAAAGACAGCTGACCATGAATAATGAATCATATAAATAATAAAACAATAAATTGACAGCGTTCTTTAGAAATACATTTTTACGTGTTGATGAAGTTCTCTTCGTAGCAAATTTTACCATGTCTGTTTTTCAATTCTTTTTCTATTTTGATCAGCGACGAATCGGCCAAAACGTAAATAATTCAAGTTTTCAATAAGACCAACAAGAATGAAATTCGTTGTTGTCAAATATAAATACCTCGTGAGAAAAACGTTGTACGAATAATTGTAGAAACGATTACTCATTTTTTGTGAGATAACGATTTTTTCGGCGATGAACATTCGTGGCTTCGCCACATCGCATTTTGTAATCAAGTGAAACTCGAATGCCATCTAGTTATCAATGAATAGGATGTTCTTCATGCAGCGAATCGGAATACTTAACTATAGTTTTCTTTTTTAGTAACAGAATACTCATCATACTGCTATTCACGATTGTGCAAAATTGATTTATAGATAAATCAATACAAATTATCGGTAGCTATAGTTACTTTTAGGTTGAATCATACTTTAAAATACTTACTCTACCAATAATTTCATGAAGTATTATAAACTACTATTGTTTTCAAACTTGTTGATATTCTAATTTTGTATAAAATTAAAATGTTTTTGATTTATAATACGTATGTCAATCTACTATTTTGTCTTCCATTGGTATGCCATTAAAATTATGAATCATCATGATTCAGTTACAAAAAAGTCACCGTTTACGAGAAATAATAATCTTTCTATTGTGTTCAAGAAGAAATGGGCCTTTCAATATTATATTAATGGTATTTCTTTTCATATTCGTTTAATTCTTTATTTTTTCCTAATCTAGAGAACATAAAAATTTACCCTCCAATTGAACAGTTCAATATATTCGGGTCTGGACCGTTCAATGACAAAGGATTCTTGATGATGAAAGAGGAAAAGTTGTTCCGATCTCATGGATGTGTAGTTGGTGGATGTGAAATGTTCAATCTTGTCTGAAGATCTCGTTTTCATATTTCAGTCCTATTGAAAGGACACTCTGAATGTATTACTCACATTTGTCAATTACACAACAGTGAGATCAAAACAACTTTCTCTCTTCCATCTATTAAGGACGATTAATCATCGCATAGATCAGATTTAAATACATTGAACTATTTAATGTGAAACAAATTTGAACATTCTCTCGATTAATGAAAAGTAATATCGAAAGAAATATCTCTGCAAAAACCGAAATATAATAGTCAAAAAGTTCTACCAGAAAACCATTCCTTTAGAATCGTGTCTTGGGAAATGATCGATATTTTATTGTCCCAAGGACACTCGATAATTTTATAGGATTCCAAAATTTCGACAATTTAACTATGAATTGGAAGTGGATTGAAAAAGCGTGAGAGTCTTCTTCTGTCAACACCCGCACCCGAACACATCTTGAGTGTAAGATATGACATATATATATATTCTAACAATATTAGCCTCAGTCGTTACATGTATTCTATATTAATACTGTTTTGTAACGTCTTACGAAAGTTTACCCTACTTTTGTTAACACACTCCTAGAATTTTCATCAATTGTGATAGTATTATTATGAATACTTAACAAAAATTTTATTGATTTATATAATTGTTACATAAAAAAATAGCAAAAAAAAACTTATTCACTATGAACTAGAATCACCGTCCATTATATTAATCTGACATATATAAAGGAAAAAAAACTTCAAGAATAAATTTCTTAAGTAATTTCTAATCGACGATGTTTATCTTTTTTTCTTATCATTTTTGTTAACATTGTAAATGCATCAGTTAAACCATCTCCTGTTAATGCACAACATGGAATAATATGATATAATTGATTAGGCCAATGAATTAAATCAAGTTTTTCTTCTATAATTTCAGCTGATAAAGCTTCTTTACTATCTTGTTTATTAGCAATAATAATAAGTGGTACATTTTTCATTGATTCATGTTGATAGATTCCTATTAATTCAGCTTTGGAAAAATGAATACGACGACGATCAGTTGAATCAATAACAAAAACAAGTCCATCAACATTATCAAAATAATGATGCCATAATGTTCGTAAATGATCTTGACCACCAACATCCCAAACTGTTAACGATATTCCACGACATGGAGATATTGTTTCAACATTAAAACCTTTATATTAAAAAAAAAACCAAAAAAGTTTCCTTTTTATTCAAAGAAAAACCTCATTCAACATACCAATAGTTGGTACAGTATTAAAATCTTCTGTACGTTTCATACGATAGAGTATTGTTGTTTTACCCGCATTATCCAAACCAAGCATAAGTATACGTTTAGGTCCATCGGCAGATAATTTTTTCATAATCTTCGAGAAAACTTTACCCATTTTTTTTTTATGGATGAGTAATCAATAAAATCTATTATATATGTATATATATATATATATAGATATAGATATAGTTAAACGAGTATTAGTCAACAGTACGCAAGAAAGAAAAAAAAACTGATTACGAAACAGCTGCACCACTCACTCTCACGCCATTATTGTCGACAACAGAATATGTTAATCATTGAAACTTATTTGACTCTATTATCACACACGTATGCTTTACGACGATGAAAAGGGCATATAGTTGGATGAATCATATACAACAATAGCAACAAAAAAACAAAACACATATATAAGCTAATGATGAAATAATGTGTGGTAGTTAAAAAATATTCTCATCGTTATATCTATGTAATCGAATAAAAATAAGATAGAGATAGAACAAACAAGCCATCTCATTCTTTATCACATTTTCGTCCTATACAAAGAAAAATCACTCTCAAGCACATCGTTGTGTTGTTATTGTCCAAAAATGAGTCTACTATTCATCTATTTGACCTATCCGTACAAACAACATGTCGAGACTATTATTCATTGTATGTGAATGAATATATAAAATATATTTTATTATATAACCAATAATTCTCTTTGTCATATTTGAATCGATTCTTGATCTCAAGTCATATGTTGTAACAGTAGTCATTTTCAATTAGCATTGAAGAGACTTATGAGCTATCATTTTCATATGATTTTTGAACAATAGTTGATTATTCTAACAAATATAGACGAGATAATTATTGTGAAGATTTAAATCATATTCGACTGAAAATTAAACGACAATTTTTTTTTTGCATATCAACTGACAGAGAAACAACAGACTTAAAGAAGACTTCAATAAGTTTCATAGGACTTCAGAAAATTTTTGTCAAACTTCATTAGACTTTGAGATTTCATGAGTCTTTGAGAAACTTTAGAAAACAAATGAATAAAAAAATGTAAATTTATAGATAAGCGAATGGCTTGTTGGTTACTGGCAAACATATCTAATCATTTGTCGACTGAGAAGTAACCAAGAATGATTCATTCAATGACTAATTTTGGCATTGTTTGACTTCAAATAACCTTGTTTATTATAGTGGAGACCATTTATTTGTAGAACTTTTAAATATCTAATCTCACGTCTTACGTTTAAAAGATTTTAAACAATGTTTCAATGACTTAATTTTCTTCGTGAGTTTTGTCTGACCTAAACATATTTCAACAGTTTCAGTAGACATTACGAAATTTCAGGACTCAAGTCTTCGCTATTTCTTCCTTGGTTTCAATCGAAGTAATTAATTAGAGAGAGAGAATATATTTAGATTATTCAAAGTAATTTCACATTTTAACAAGTACACTATACGTGCTTCAGTGTTAAGAAGCATGTTTGAATAACACAATTGATGACTCTATTTCGAATTGTCCTGAGAATTTTGTTCTTTTTTTTTTGGTTTTCTACTTCAATGTTTTTTATCAGTGTTAATTGTATTATGTTGTCGGATATAATTATGAAACAAATTAGTTTTTAATATGAAAACAAATAAACAACATGACTTCTTGACAAGCTAATAAAATGTCACAAGCATTCTCTTGAACATTTTTTGCCAATCATTTTCTTTTTAATCATCTGAACAGAGGTCTCTACTTAAATTAGATTGGTTAAAACATATACAAATAAGAAACCTGACAAAAGAATCAAGCGATTGTATCATGACAGAATATTTTTGCTGTAACCTTTTCGCAGAATTTGTTTTATTATTATTTTGTTTTTTGTTGAAGAAAATTTTATTTCTCAAAATTTGATTGAATAATTCGAATGTATATATTTATTTGAAATATTTCATTACAAAACAAAAAAATAAATTTTCTTGTCCTTGACATAACTTATGTAAAAAAAGAAAAAAATCATATATTTTCAAAAATGACTAACGATGATGATGATGATAATTATCCAGGTAAACTTCTTCATCAAGCTGCACTTTATTTAAATGTTGATCTACTTAAAGTAATATTTAATTTAAATCTAAATATATATTATTTTAATAAATTATTCATTTTAATTATAGGATCTTCTAATAGGTGATGAAATTAATAATATTGATGCAACTGATCGTTTTGGTTGTACACCATTACATACAGCATGTATATCAGCTGCACAAGCAACACTTCAAAATGATACTAGAATTCTTGATTCATCATTAGAATTTATTATGGTACTTATTGATCATGGTGCTGATTTAAATGTACAAACGGGTGAACATTATGATTATAAAGTAAGAAGAATAAGTTTATTATGATAAAATACAAAAATAAATGTATCGATCAATCCTTTTTTTGTCTTTCTTTTGTGATTAATATTTGTCATTGTCTTTAGACGCAATAATCATAGTTATTTTTATTCTTTATTTAAACAGTTGTCTTGTTATTTAGTCAGTACGAAAGAAAAGATTAAGATAAAAAGAGAAAATCAAAAACAAAAAACAAAAAGAATTTTTCTATATGAACAAATGAAATCGTTTATAATAAATTGTTTACTGTTAATTGCAGTATTTATTTATCCTATACATAGCCAACAATTTATTGTTGGTTGTTATTTTACAAATTGGTCTCAATATCGACCAAGTCATGGATATTTTATTCCATCATATATTGATTCAACACTTTGTACACATATTTATTATGCATTTGCAAATATTAATATAAAAAATCGAAGTCCAAGTCCATTTGAAATAAATGATATACAATCAATTATAATTAATAATTCAATACAATATATGGGAATGTATGAACAATTTAATTTATTAAAAATTAAAAATCAACATATAAAAACTTTATTATCATTAGGTGGTGCAAGTGTTAATTCAACAAAATTTCGTTATATTTTTCAATCAAATAAAATACGACAAGAATTTATACAAAATACAATAAAATATTTACGAAAATATAAATTTGATGGTTTAGATATTGATTGGGAATATCCTGAAACAGAAAAAGATCGTCGAATATTTTCTTTACTTATTCGAGATTATCGATTAGCATTTCAAAATGAATCTTTTTTAACTAATCGTACACGACTTTTATTAACAGCAGCTGTTGCTGCATATCGACCTAAAATAGAAGCTAGTTATAATATTAAAGAAATTACACCATTCCTAGATTATATTAATCTAATGGCTTATGATTATCATGGTTCGTTTATTAAAATATACAATACTGCATTAAATTATAACAGAAAAATATTTTTCTAATATATCACGCATCTATCTCAAATTCAAATAGTAATTTGAATGTATGATAGATGTGTAGTATTGTAGAAAAAAAAAGAAACATCAAAAATATTTTGCTCTTATAGTTTTCTCTAGTATAATATTTTGTTAGATCGACATTTTTTAGGTAATTGGAATACTCATATAGGTTTTAATAGTCCTTTATATCCACGTTCAACTGAAATAGATAATCAACGATTTTTAAATCAACAAGCAACAGTTAAAACATGGATAGATGGTGGTTGTCCACCATCAAAACTTGTTCTTGGTCTTGGTATCTATGGTCGAACATTTCAATTACAACAAAAAAATAATCCTAATATAAAACCATATGCACCATCAAAAGGTCCTGGTTTACCTGGTAGTTATACTAATAGTAGTGGATTTTTATCATATTATGAAATATGTGATTTAATAAAAAAACATGAATGGCATACTGAATATGATAAAGAACAAGAAGTACCATTTGCGTATAAAGATGATCAATGGATTGGTTATGATAATGAAAAATCTATAGAAAAAAAATGTTATTTTATTGCTAAACAACGTTTATCTGGTGCAATGATATGGTCACTTGATTTAGATGATTTTAATGGTAGTTTTTGTGAACAAGGAAAATATCCATTATTAACAAAAATTAAAAAAACACTTGAAAAACTTCAAAAACCTATAAAAAATAATACGAAAAATTTTATCAAATAATTGAATAGATAGAAATTGAAATAAGAAGATTTTTTTTTGTCTAATACATTTGAACTATAAAAATCTATATTTCTTTATAGACACCTTTACATATAATTGCTGAAGTTGGTAATGAAAAAATCTTAGCATTATTATTATTTCATAAAGCTGATGTAACCATGCGAGATAAACATGGTCATACACCATTAGTATTAGCACAAAAAAATCGTAAAGTTGATTCAGTTGAAATGATACAAAATGAAATTGAACTTCGACAACAAGTTCGACAAGAAACAGAAAAAAGTAATCAAAGAAGACAAAAATAAAATAAATAAATAAGAATTTTTTTTTTTTTAGAATTACTTGATGCTTGTTTTGATGGTGATGTAATTAAAGCAGAAGAATGTCTTGCACATTTAGGTGCACAAGCTAAAGCAGTATTAAATTCAAGTCCAAATGGAAGTGATACATTAAATTTTTTGTATAGGTATTTATTTTCAAAAAACAAAAAAAAGAAAAAGATCTTTTAAATATTTGTAAATTATTTTTAAATATAGAGCTTGTCGAACAGGTAATGTTGATTTAGTAAAATTATTATTAAAACATGGAGCTATTGCAAAACCTCATCGTCAAACATCATATTCACCACTTTATATAGCTTGTCGTATTGGAAATCTTGATATTGTTCAAATACTTCTTACTGTAAGAAGATCTATTTGTTTTGTTTTTTTGTTTTTTTGTTTTTATTAATTAATTTTTCTTTTCTTAGCATTTTCCACATTTAGTTTCTGTTGCAACACTTGAACAAATTCTTCCATTTGCTGCTGCTTGTTCACAAGGTCATCTATCTATTGTACAGCTTTTATTAACTTATCCAAATTATCCATTTTCATCATGTAATATTTATGTTGATCGTTTACAACGATCATATGTTTTTCCATTTAATCTCAATGGTATATATATATGATTTCTTTTTCATATGTCTAATCTCACATTAGACTTTACTCCAAGGTTTAATCGATAGAATAGATTTATTCATATTGTATTAGAAGTTTGACTAGCCTTGAGAATTTGATACTTGTTCATTGATTAAATTATATTGCGTGATATTTATTATAATGTTTATATATAGGATTAAATTTCGAAAGATAGAGGATAAGATACATGGACATATCAAGTGTTGAGTTACATTCTTAAAAAATGATGAAATAATTGAGCGTATTTTGAGAATGATATAATTCAGATACTTCGTAATGATACGAAAAATAAGATTGTAATAGTGATAGTTGAATGTATAAGATCCTTGGTAAATTCTATTTTGATCGAAAGATAAAAATATCAACTTATGCAAATGTCAAAAAAAAAACATACAAATTATTATTTAATTGATGATAAGATTGAAAAACAGGAAGAGCCTTAATGGACAAATTAACGTGAATCATGCATATATTTTATATCCTTTTTTTTCGAGGATGCGTGTAGGTTAGTATGACGAGAATACAATCATTCACACCTACATCCCGATAGTAATTATACCTTGCCAATTGGTTGATAGCGTTAACTTCATTTCAGTAATCGACTGTTTATGTTTCCATATTTCATGCTAGTCTATCATTTCGACATTCATAGGATAAATCAGATCTTTTCTTTCCATATCACTATCAAAATTGACTCAAATGAAAAGAGGATGTATAGACTGTATATTTGTTTCATTTTTATGTTATCATAAGCTTGAAGAAGTCGTTCTCAAAGTCAGAATTTCATTGAATTAAAATATGAATAAATTGCTAAAGAGAACTAAAAATATATTATGGCAAAATTATCAATAATCTTTTGATTAAGATAACAGCAGTACAGCCTTCTAATTATTTCAGATGTTTGAAAAGCATATTCACAATAAAATAAAAAGATTTTTTGTATAATTGAAATTGTGAAAACATTCGTATCGATAAAATTTATTTCAATAGGCCTCTGTCAAGTAGATATTACGAATTTGAATTGTCTTTCAATCTGTTATCTTTTATTGTCAATATTTCATAATCTTCTTTGTTTTTCTATTTTATTAAGCACAAGATATAAACGAACAAACAAGTTTATATTTATCTGTTCTTGGTGGGCATTTCGATGTTGTTGAATATCTACTTTCATTTCGTGTTTATGCTTTAACTAATCAAGAAGTTGAATTATTTAAACGTCGATCAACACATAGTTATTTTACTTCTGAAAGTAAGAAAATTTTTTTGAATATCGATCATAATTATTTTTTTTTTAAAATGTTTATAAATAGATTCTATAGCAACTCTATCAGATTTTGATGCAACTCTTCAAAAACCAAATTCATCATTTTGTCCATTTAATCTTGATGTTTATTCAAATATTGGTCGAACAGCTTTACATGAAGCAATTGAACAACAAAATTTTAAATTAGTTCATTTACTTATTTCAAATGGTGCTAATGTTAATTTATCATATGAAGAAATTTCTAGTCGAACATTAAATAATGAACAATGTTTTATAACACGTTCAACAGCATTATCATGTGCATGTCGTCTTGGTAATATACAACTTATTGAATATCTTATGAATTCTCTTGCAACTGATAAAGAATTTCTTGCATTTAATTCATGTAAACAATCATATCTTATTGGACATTTACTTAAATATCGTGCTCTACAAGATAATGAATTTAAATTAATAAAACGACAATTAACATCAAATACTTTATATTCATTTGATGAAAAATTTTGGTCAAATATTGATTTAACAAATATTTGGATTAATATAAATAATGATGAAAAAAAAGATAATAATAATAATATATCTGAATCAAATTATTCTATTGAACCTATATTAAAACGACGTACAAATAAACGATATCAAATTTTAACAACAAGTTTTGAACATTTTAAAACTCATTTTACATCACGTTCACTTTTACCAACAGCAACAAATCATATATCATCATCTTCATCATCATCATCTATTCCATCAATACCAGTTGGTATACAATGGCATCATTATGGTCCACTTAAAACTCTTGATCCTTTATGGTTTATACAAGCATCAATATTTGTTAATAAAGATAGTTTTACACAATTATCAGATATAAATATATCAAATCGTCATTTATTATTTCATTGTATAACACGCATTGATTTATCAGATAATTCATTAGAAAATTTACCATCATTTCTTTTTCAAATGTATTCATTAAGAATATTAAATATATCAAATAATCAATTAGGTGAATTACCAAATGATAATAATGTTTGGTTATGTCATCAATTAATTGAATTAGATGTTTCACATAATGCTTTAACTTTTTTACCACCAGCTATGTTTCAACTTCGTTCATTACAAAGAGCTTATGCAGGTAAATTTTATGTTATATTTCATATGGAAATAAAACATAACATTGTAAGAAAGAAAGTCTTCTAAGTAAAGAGAATTGTTTTTTTATCGGTAAATTCATTATTGAAATGTTCTTGAATATTAGACGCACTTTGCATATGCTCAAAAGTATCGGAGTTGTTTATTAAATCTTCCGTAATGTTTTAGACTTTCATTGATTTAATAAGATCATAATCTATAGTGGTATGCTAAAAATTCATCGTAAATCCAGTAGATGACACTGTTTTTCTATATCTAAAGAAAGATTCAATCTTAGGAAATTGCATGATCAGTTTGTTGGCCATTTAAGACATCCGCCTCGCCCATTGTTACCCAAAGTGGTAGTTTCGGGCTCTCCTATCATGACAAAAATTTACTGGAAGTAAAATACTCTTTCTTTGAAAATTGATATGTGCATTCAAAAATCCGATTATAAAGTTTATTCGAGCTTATGGCTCGGATACTTTCTAATCACATGAACAACTATTGTGCTTTCTCTGCCATCCTCAAACTCGTCATATGATCTTTAAAGAGTCTCTTGAAGTGCAGCTTTTGACAAAATGTAGCTGATATTTTATAGTTTATTTGTACGAAGTATGAGCTTTTCCTACCATAAACTTACTATTCTAAATCAAAAAAGAATACTAAGAATGATATCTTTTTACTTGGCTTCGCATCAGTCTTAAACTTAAAAAAAAAATAGAAACAAGTTTCGCCATAGAAGACAACACATCTTGCGATTTCAATGATATGTTAATTGAAAAAGTGTGAAAAAGGTTTTCGAAATACTGTACAGGATTATATTACTCTTTGAAATCAAAATATGAGTATTTCTTTATTGTGAAAATTAGGATCTCGATGAGTAAAGCAAAAGTTGTCATAGACTCCAAAATCCCAGATCCTTCCTTCAGGAAGATATAAGATCCTCACGGGTCGAAGTTCTTCTCCCAGCAAAAAGTTCTACTACGTCTTTCTGAGCTGCAATTTTTTTATGACAACTAGGATCAAATTAGGGTGTGTTGTTTTTTTTTTCTTCGAAAAATATTGTTTCTACAGCTCAGGAGAGGCAAAATACTGAAGGTACTATCAAAAAAACGTGTTTTTTTTTCAATGGTGCTATTTTCCATAGGCTACCAAATTTCACAGGAACAATATTATTAAGAAAGAAAAAAAAGACACGTCTCAATTTGATCAAGGTATTTGTTAAAAAAACTTAGAGTCCGATCAATTTTACCGTGGAGGAGAAAAAGGGGAAAAACTTCATTTTTTCCTTTGAAAATTTGTTTTTGAAAAAAAAGTTGCACTTTTTAGCATAAAATTGACTTTTTTTTTCGAGGTTTTACATACAGAAAGGTGATTTTGCCTCCTTAAAATGTGCTCGTTAGACAGAGGGTATTTAAATCCACATATCTAACATAAAAAAATGAAAAACGAAAAAACTGGACATTTTGGTTTGAGAAAGAAATGCGTTTCAATACATTGAATTTCTCTTTAGATATACAACAAGAATATATTTTCAACCATCATCCTTTAACGAGTTTACGATAATAATTGGACTTATTCCGCTGCTTTGATGATAAAATATAGGTTAATAGTTCGAAAATATCGACCATCCGTACAGTTTATTTACTGTTTTCATTAGGCATCTGAAATAGAATAACCTATCAGCTTTAATTTATCAGTTGAATATTTGGATTTTTTTTATAAATAAATTATGTATTTACTTATTTTAAATTTCTATAAAATTTTAGCTCATAATCAACTTCAATATTTGCCTGTTGAAATGTGGTCAGCACCAATGTTAACTGATCTTAATGTTGCTAATAATTCATTAAAAGAATTACCAGCACCAACTGTTGTCGTTGTTAAAAATGCTGATAAAACAGGACGTCATATGACATGTATGTAAAAACAAACATGAATTAGATTTCACTTACATTTCATTTGCAAATTTTTTTTTAGCTCGACATTCAACGAATCAAACTCAAAATCGAACAACTAGTGAATTCCGTTCTCAAATTCCTATGAGTCCACCAACTAAATTAAATATTAATGAAACAAAACCTCCAATGATAATACCATCATCAATAACAACAGCTAATTTATCAATTTTTTCTGTTCCATCATCAGCTCCACCTCGTTCAACAACATTTTCTCAAATAACAACAACAACAAATAATAATAATAATAATAATAATAATAATAATAATGATAATAATCCTCCATCACCTGATGATGATGATGAACTTGAACGACGATCAAAATTAAAAATAACTTATGAAAATTCAAATTCATTACCACCATTATGTAGTCCAGTTAAACGTTTATGTCTTTGGCAAAATCATATAGCACAATCAATTGATGATGATCAACAACAAGGATCAAATATAAAATCTTCATCATCATCATCATCTTCTTCTTCAACATCAACAATAAGTCGTTTAAATAATTTAAATTTATCTTATAATCATTTTGAAATAGTTCCACCAATGCTTTGTTGTCTTGTACCATATTTAACATCATTAAATCTTTCACATAATCTTCTTACGGATTCATCAAATATATCATCATATCCATCACGTTTAAAAATGCTTGATTTATCATTTAATCGTCTTCAACATAGTATTTTAATTGAAGCATTAATAACAACATCTCGACGTGAAAAATCTTATAGAAAAAATCGTCAACATGATACAACAACAGGAGAAAATATTTGTTTTCGACCGGAATTAAAAGACTCCAATACACAATTTGATCCGACAAAAAGACGTCGAAGTCGTTCAGTATCTCGTCATAAAGCTCTTACATCAACAAATTTAACAATAGGTATAAATTCTATGTCAAAATCTGATCAACAAGATCAATGTTGCATTCATCGACGCCATACGAAACTTGAATTTTTACATGATCTCAATTTAGGTGATAATAAAATCAATGAATTAACATTATTAGTAAGAGAATTTCTTTTTTTTTCTTATCTTGTGAAACACGACCTAGAAGTGTTTAAGTATATGAGTAAAAATTTGAATCTCTCCTCCCATAGATATGTGCGGAACCGGAATCCGAGACTATATAATACCTTTAACTCTGTAACTTTTCAAGTGAAGTTTTATTATTTTCATACTAATATCTTGTAATATAGAAAAAACATATCACAATAGATAAGACGACATGAATACAAATAAAATCTGTAAATATTAAATCTTAACAAATAACAATCATATGTGCACCCATATAAAAAAAAATAAATAGTTTCATCATTATGAACACTAATATGTCTTAATCATCTTTAGACAATCGTTCTTTTTGTGAAACACGATCTAAAAGGAGTGTTGAAGTATATAGGGTAGAAATTTGGACTCGTTCCCCTACAAATCGTGACAGACATTTTAATTAATTAACTAATTACTACCTAATTAATCAACTACGATCTAATTAGTTAATTGATTAATTATTAAGTTAACTAATTACTATCGAATTAGTTAACTAATTATCATCTAAGTAGTCAATTAATTAAAGAATTAATTAAATAGTAATTAAATAATTAATACTTGATTAATTAATGGTTATTTAATTAATTAGTAATTCGTCGCTTGATTAATAATTAATCAATTGATTAGTAATTAATTAATTTACTAATTACTACTTAATTAACTAATTGGTCATCGCAGACCATGACGGATAGCCTTAAAGAGCTATCGGAGATCATGTCTAACTAACATCTAATTAGAATATATATGGAGTATTTGGTTGTTGAAGTTCTGTACTCCAAAGTAAGTAATGATGGAGAAATATGTCCCGATACACACGAAAAAAAAGACCAATTTTCAGAGGATTAGAAACAAAATATCTAGATCGTATTTTACATTTTAATCCTGCGAAGATTGCGCTAATTTTGTTTGTGAATATAATTGTGATAAATCTTTTGATAATACATATTTACTCGAAATAAATGATGGAGAAGCTGTTTCTTCTGATGATTTTTTCTGACTAGATTCACAAAATCATTTTAAATAAGCTAAATTTGGATTTTAAAAACATGATTTTATCTGTTTTTTCAGTAGCTGTTGTAGCTGAGTAGATATGTGCGGAACCAGAAGCATACCAGATTCATTGTGACTACGATCAGAACTGCTCAAAATGAAGCTAATGGGATTGGATCAGAACTGGGATTAAAAACACTTAGTCTTGCACATGTCTAACCATAACATATGCTCCTCAGAGATCATCACAGATCGTATATTAATAATGTTTCTGTATCCTATATGAACTACTTCATTATTATAGTTCTGAAGAATTAAGTAAAAGGATGGGAAAGAAATGTGTACTAAAATAGATAGAATAAAATAGTCTTCCTGTGATCAGCAACTGCGTCATGTTTCTTATTTTAATCTCGTTGGGATTATACAAACAGTTTTTTTTTAAATTAAACTTAATGATTATTTCTAGTCGATAGCAAAACCTACTCCAGATATGGATGTGACAGTATTACGTTCATCTTTATTATTTCCAGCAATAACTCGTCTTAATTTAAGTCAAAATGAACTTGTGTCAATTCCATCTAGTATTTCTTTATTAGATAATCTTGGTACATTAATATTACGTGATAATTCGCATTTAAAAGAGGTAAATATAAATATTTTCTTGTCACATATGTTTAGAAAAAAAATTCTTTTTGTTACATTTTTAGATTCCATTATCGATTGGTTCTATGCAAAAATTATGGAATCTTGATCTTCATGGTTGTGGACAGATAATTAAAAAATAAAATAGAAAGTTTTAAAATCAAACATGTCGAAATAAAATATATCTTAAAAAGTTCAATATTTTAAAACTTTGATAGAAATGAAATAAACGTTAAATATTAACTCGAAATTGCTTCCTATGAAACTGAGAATGACTCAGTTCTAAAGATAAACTTATTTATGGTTACATTATATTATTTCGTGATAAAACTTCTTTTGATTTAAATTATGAAATCAATTGTGCATTTTATTCTTTTGTATTTGATATATCACTATGAATTCTTAAAGAAATTTTAGTTATTGTGATAACTATATATTTTCTATTTAAATAGACCTTCCCTTTTCCATACTAGATCGATTGTATTCTTGTCACTAAATTGAACACAAGAAAGAATTTTATGCTATTTTTCTTTTGTTTGTTTTTTTTTTCATAATTTATTGTAAATAAATAATATACATGTATACAATCATTTGTACAATTGACATCTTTAACAATAATAGATAATTTTTCTTTTAGATAATTTTTTATTAATAAAAAAAAAAAAAGAAATGCTTGGTACACAATCAACAGAAATGATTGATATAACTAAAGAACCATTAGCTTCATTTATTGCAAATAATTATCGAACAGTAGAAATTATTGCTTATATGAAGAGTTTATGTGATGAGTAAGATTTTCAATAATGATGTTTTTTTATTTTTTTCTTCTTTGTTAATATTTCTTTATTAATATTTAGTACAAAAATATATAATCGAATGAGATTAATGCTGCTTGGTGGTGAACAAACAGGCAAAACATCACTTCTTCAAGCTTTTAAACGTGAAAGTTTTCATAATAATAATACTATACAACAATTTCTACGAAGAGTAAGTGAAAAGGATTTGATATCTTACGAATAATACTATTTGAGACGTCGATTTTGTATCAAACTTAATAAATCAACAGGATATTCCAAAAGTCCGAACGAAGAACAAAAACAAAACATGAATATCTCTTTAACAGTTAAAGCGATTTATACAATTTTATTTCATATAAATTTTCTGTTTCAATTCACTGAGATCTTCTAAATATTGTTCTCTACATGAGTCCATAAGAAAAGATTGAGTGATTATGATGCTTGTCAAAATCGGACCACCTCCTTCAATGCATCTGTTCGGAAGGATATTGTTCACAAATTGACATACCTCCGGCTGAAATGTAGAGAGGCTTTCTCTTACTGTAGTAATATAGAGAGTTCATTTTACATAATCATCTTCTGATTTCCGGAAGCAAAAAAAAATGTCTTGAAGCATTGTAACATAATTGTGTCCATTGATGGTGCCATCATTAAAAAAAGAAGGATTCAATCAATTACTGTTTCTGACATCGCACATCAAACATTGAATTTCAGAGACTGCATGACAATGTCAAATAGTTACATGTAGATTTTCGTCACTTCAATATCGAACATTGTATTTATTAACGAAACCATTCAGATGAAAAAGCTACTTCGTTCGAAAAAAGAAACATTGTCTTCGTCCTTATCGTCTGCTAGCAGTTGTACATATTTCAACACAATCATATAAGTCTTCTTTATACAGCTATTGAATAAATTATAACTTTGTATGGCTTTAATAAGAGATGTTTCATCAAATCTAGTGGTGCTATTGTTTATGGTAATGAGCAACCTTGTGCAATAGATTGAATATTTGATCCTAACACACTGTTACAAACATCCTTGACTTTTTCTTCAGTAATTTCTGCAGATCTTCCAGACAGTGTTTGATTTTCGATAGTCTCAGTGTAGTTTTAATTTAGCCATTAGTATATTTTAATTCTGACTTCTATGAGCTGTTCTCAAACTATTTTTTCCTTCGGATATCCTGTATTTTTTTTGTCAAATACGATCGAAAAAGAGTGTTGAAGTAAAAATTTGAACCCCGCATCCTAGCAATCGATCATAGACACCTTGGCAATACTTTCCTTGAGAGTACGAATAACAGCTATATTGATTAATTTTCTAGAAATCAACAACAATACGTAATTTTCCAATTCTTGATATATCCGAATGGATATATGATAAAACACCTCGTGGATTAATAGGTCCAATTACATTTCGTACTTGGGATTTTGGTGGACAGGTAATTAATATAATTTCAAAATAAAATAATCTTTTATAATATATTAGCATGAATTTCAAACAATTTATCAATATTTTTTTACTCGACGTACTCTTTATTTAATTTGCTGGAAAATGACTGAATATGATATGAATGAACAAATTTTTGATACAATACATAATATTTTAATAAATATTCAAGTAAGTCTTTTTGTTTTGTTTTTTTTTTATTCCTGAGAAAAAAAATAAATTCGATAAATATTTGTTTTTTTTTTGCTTATGCAACAACACCATGAATAACAATAAAAAATTTTAATAGATCAGTTTCAATTTCAAGTGAAAGTACATCATCTGTTCTATGATTCCATAAACATTGATTCATAATAAAAATATTTTTTTCAATTTTTTTTGGATAAGTTATAACTTGAATAATTACTTTATAATTATCTTTAATATGTTTATAGACAATTTGTTTTAATAGATCTGTTATTTCAGAAGTTATTATTCGAATAGCATTTTCATCTGTATATTTAAGTTCTTTTATTTGTGGTAAATTTATATATTCATTTATTTGATCTTTTATTAGCTAAAAAGAAAAAAAAAAAAACTAACAAAATTCCTATTTGAATATTTAAATTAAATATACATACACTACTGAATAAATCATCTGCAAATTTAACAGGTACACCATACATTTGTTCTTTAGTTTGATTAGAATCTAAAATTTGATTAATAAAAAAAAAAAAATGAAAGTTCATACGAATGAGATAAGAAATAATAATAATAATAATAAACGTACGATGGAATCTAGTTGAATATTTGATTGGTATAGAATTCATAGTAACAGTTGTCGTCATAAAACTAATACTAAATCTTTTTTTTTTGTATATGTGTATGTGTGTTCGCTTTCGTTTGTGTGTTGAATGTAAAATGTAGTAGAATTCAAATGCCACAAAAACTATGTCAATAACATGACGAACTCTCGTCTTTTTTTTTTATATATGATCATCGCGTTGTTCCTTCTCTTTCTTTATATATATAGGGTACTCGTGTGGTTTTATCGATGATGAAGAATACGTAAGAAAGAAAAAAAAAACGAGAAATGTGCAATAGTATGTGTGCTCTTTTTTAATAAAAATAATTTCAACCATTAGGTAAATGGTATTAAAGAAAAAAATCCTATAATTAACTTTCTTTTAAAAGATTCTATAGAATTAAAAAAAAAATCTATATGCCATATTTTATATAAAATGAATAGAGAACATGCCCTCGACATCATCTGTTGCAATATAATCATGTCAACTTACATGATCGAATAGAAATAAAGCAAAAAAAAACAAAGAAAAGCAAACTTCGAGTCTATTAAAATTGGGGAATTATTTTAATGTCAGTAAAATAAATGAAATGGTCAGTAAGTGAGATAAATATAAAATCAGTCAATTTAATGATTGGTCAGTAAAATAAATGATTGATCAGTAAATTATTTAAACGATCAGTTATTAATTAAATAGGTTTGTAAATAAATTTAAAAATCAGTAAAAATAATTTATTAACAGTCAATTATATTAAAGGATCAGTATAAAAATTGAAATGGATATAGAGTGAATCACTTTTTTCCCTTTTCTTCTGTGTCTTCAGCTATTCGAAATGTGTTCTCGTTCTTTTGACCTATTCTTTTAATCTACTTCTTTTGACCTATTCATTAATCTACTTCTTTTAACCTACACATTTTGTGAATAAGAGGAATCATTATATTAATTCTTCTTATTGTTCATTGTCTAAAACAAAGGAAACGAAGCTTCTCGACTTCTTCTCTCGTCACTGTCTTTATCTATCCCATGTATAGGGTGAGTGTGGATGTGAGTGTGTATAATATTCTTTCTCGATACTCACACCGGCACTCACAGCCACACCCGCCCGCACCCTATTCATTTGAAATATTGTAAACCACCCTCAGCAGCAAAAACAGTTCAAATCGATTAGAAAAGAAAAAGAGATAGACCAATAAAGGCTAAATCTGCTTTATTGATACAATAATTTGATTTTCTTTTTCTTTTTTTTTCAATTCCTGTTAAAATTTCTTCTAATTATGTAGTTTTTTGATTTTGATAAATTTATTTTCTACTGATAAAACTTATCTTTCTGCTGATAACTTTTGTATTTTTCACTGATCAAATCTGTATTTCTTATTGATATAAGCTGGAATTTTTTACTGCTACTTTATTTAATAAACTGACCATTTTACAATTAATTACTGCTAATTTCAGTACTGACCATTTCATATTTATACTGATCATTTACATATTTCTTTACTGATCATTTCATCTATTATACTGACCACTTAAATGGTAGCCATTAAAATTCTCATAAATCGCATTTTTCTTTGGTTCATTAGACTGTTGCACCTGGTTCATCTGTCATTCTTGTTGGTACACATCATGATCAAATAGTTAAATTAAAAAATTATCGTCAATTATCTGAAAATTTTCAATCAATTATCTATAAACGTTTTATAGATACAACACAAAGTGAAAAATTAGGTTATCCAAAAGTTCTTGATTCAATTGAAATAAGTAGTAAAACAGGTTATAATATAAAACATCTATGTACAGTAATATATGATATTGCTGGACAATTATTAGTACCAAATATTAAAGATCAAAATATATTTCAACAAAGAATACCAGCAAAATATATTTATTTGGAAGAAGCACTTGAAGAATATCGAATAAATAAAAAAATATCAATGTTAAATGATAAAGAATATCAGTAGGAATTTTTATTAAAAGAGAATTTTCGTTTTTTTCCTTTCTTTAGCGAAAAATTTTTGTTTCTCTTAGAGAATTAATTAAAGAAATATCTCAACAGACGAATCATGTTCAATTTCGTGATTATGTTGAACTTCAACAAGCAACTAAATGGTTACATGAAAATGGTAAAATATTATAAATAATTAGATCATTTTTTTATAAATGATATATATTTTTAGGTATAATTATACATTTTGAAGATACTTTATTATCAAATTATTATTTTCTTGATCCACAATATTTAGCCGAATTATTAACACAATTAATTGCTTCAGAACAAACAAATGGTCTTGCAAGACATGGTAATATTTATTTACTAGATTACTTAATTATAATATTTGAAAAATACTTAGGGCAGAGCAAAAGTTTTGGTCACGGCATTTAAAGAATCTTTTCGGATAAGGAAATCTATTGAGAAATGTTGTCGAGCTTTTTGAGGCACATCAAATGGTATATAGTAAATCTTGTTTTCATATGACTTTGAAGGATCTAGAGTCAATTTACTGATAGATGACTACACATCCACACTCAAGTATGATAAATTTCTGAATATTGTGATCCTTGGTATTTGTAAAATATTTTTTCTCACATACGATATTGTAGAGTTTTTGACGGACTACAATCTCTTATATGTAGCATCTCCGATCATCTTGTCAATGTGGGTGTGTAGTCGTCTATCAGTAAATTGACTGTACGTCGTTCCAAGTCATATGAAAACAAGATTTACTATATATCATTCGCTGCGCCTCAAAATGCTCAATAGGTTCCCTTATCCGAAAAGATCATTTAGACACCGTGGCCAAAACTTTTGGTATGCTCTAAGTATTGCAGAATGTGATTGACGTTGTTCTTCAGGTGGACTAATTGAGATCGTTTCATCAATAGAAGATTATGTGTAAATGTCCTTGGTTTAGGATATTCAAATCACTTACACGAGAACATATCCAACTGTCGGACGCGATTTTGAAATCATATTATGGCTACGAATAAGTCTCTATAAAATTAAAAAAGAATCTTAAAAGGATTCGGATCATTGATGGAATTGGTCTCATTTTTTTCAGATCGGTACCGGTCGGTATACCGATCTACAGAGAACAGATGGCGTCTCAAAATGAAATCTCGCTCTATAGTGAATTGTTTTGAGTTAAATTGGTAGTTTGTCACATACTGGTATAATGCTTCACTATTGACAATAATAGTTTCATTGAGAGCGTTCTCTAAACTATTTGTTAAACTCATTGTCCCAGGATTAGGCTTGGTTCCACTTATTGTTTTTTATATGGATACAATCATAGATCAGGAAAGTAGGATATTTAGACCGACTGGTAACTGGTTCCATGTATGATTCGGATGACCCATGGTCGGTTGAATATATATTCCTTTTCGTTGCAAATATCAGATAAAAAAACTCTTTATTTTAGGCTTTTCGGAAATGTCTTGTTCTCAGTAGGCTATGGGTCCAAATCCTTTTAGTAGTATTCCTCCTATCTCTTTTGATTCTTTGCAAGACTACAATCGATCAGACTCAATTTTTTACCACAGGTAGATTATCGAAAATGGTGGAACTTGTCTGCGAGGAAACATTTGAAAATCGGGTTGAAATTTTTTTTTTGGAGATACCTGAGGCAAAATCTCAGATATCTTGAGAAAAAATTTCAGTCCGATCGGACAAAATAAGATCAAGATCGTAAGTAAGTCTGATCAGTTGTATTCTCACAAGAATCTAAATATGAAATCGAACGACGTCTGATAGTTCTATTGTCAAATTGATGATTAAACATTTTATCTATATTTAGGACTTATGAAAATCAGTGAATTACCTATGGCATTTGAAGATACAAATAAATCTGCAATTCATAATATATCTGTTATTCTTCCTTTATTACATAAATTTGATCTTGCAATAACATGGGATAATCAACATTTAATATTTCCATCACTTCTTCCAATACAATTAAGTCTAAATACAATTGTAAAAATATTTAAAAAAAAAAATTTTTTTTTTTATCATTATTTAATAATTTCTTTTATTTTGAAAAATTTTAGTCAAGTCATTGTCGTGCATCGATTATATCTTCATCAAGTATAATTAAATTTAAAGAAAATTCTAATCAATTTCAATATATAAATCATTTAACTAATGAAAATGCAATGAAATCATTATCATTACATTTAAAATATTTAGCACGTATACAAAAAGATGATAATAAATGTTATTCATATATTCGTCGTTATTATCATTTAATATTTATTCCAACATGTTTTTGGTCACGTTTATTTACACGTTTAATTGGTGATAAACAATTACAAAAAACATTTACAAATTATTTTCATGTTGATTTACAAATAAATTCTTCAAATAATAAAATAAAAAATATTCTTATGGCTGAATGTTCATGGATTGTTTGTCAAACAGGTTTAGAACTTCGTTATTATGATTGTTGTCTATTAAGAATTAATCAAATAAATTTAACATCATCAATAATTGATGATAATATATCATATTCATATTTAAATGTTATTTTTCAATTTCATACAGATGAAGAACAAAATAAACAAATTTTACCATTTAATGATCAAGGATCATTAATTGAAATTTTAATTTGTACAAGTGATTTACAAATGATTATTGGATCAAATGATGATGAAAATGAAGATTCGAATTCATTTATTATTGAATTACTTGTACAACAAAGTACAATTGGACGTATATTAACAATATTAATGTCACATATTGATACTTTATTAGAAGATTGGTATCCTGAAATGGGTACAAGATTTGTACAAAATTCTAAAGGTGATTATTTAGTTAATCGTTTTATTCCATGTCATCAATGTTTAAACGAAAATGATCAATCAGAAAATTTTATTTGTCAAACATTTTGGTTAGAAGCATTAATGATGTCTATTGAAAAAGGAATGGAGATTAAATGTGACAAACATGGAGAATTTTCTTTAAAATCTATTGCACCTGATTTGGTGAGAATAGTTTGTTTTTTGTTTTTGGTTCTTTTGAAGTTTACAAAAAAAAAGATAATTTTAGATTTTTTGTGATTTATCAACGGGTAATTTTATTATTCCATTTGAAACAATTAAATTGAAAAAATTCATTGGACAAGGTACATTTGGTACTGTTTTTGCTGCAACATCATTCAAAGTAAAATTTACACGAATTTTTTCTTTATATATAATTTTTTTGTATTTATTTAGTCGGCAGTCGATCTTGCTTGTAAAGCTTTTGTACCAATTGATTCTTCAATTACTAAGGGTCTTATTGAACAAGCACATGGTGGAAATAAAGATGAAGAAAATGAAAAGAAATTATCTTTAGTAAACAATTTTATAAAATTGATAGAAATTGAATTTTTTTTACTATTGATATTTCTTTTTCTTAGCGTGATATTGCAAAAGAATGGACACGTAATCCAATGCGTGCTGCTTGTAAAGCTTATATAACTTGTCGACAAGAACTTTCAGTACTTTTAACAACTGGTTCACATCCAAATATAGTTCCACTTATTGGTTTATGTATTCAACCATTAAGTTTAATGTTACAATATGCTCCAATGGGATCACTTGAATCTATATTGAAAGAATATAAACGAACAAATACACAACTTGGATTAACTACCTATCAAAAATTAATTATTCAAGTATATTTATTTAATTATTATTATTACTATCCGTTTCAAAATAGAAGACGAGTGATTGCGAGTCAAATAATTTGAGAACACTAATAGCTAGAGACCTGCGATTTTCATCATTAGAAAGAGGACACAGGGGAGCATAAATTCGTGGAAAAATTTGATTGATCAGTTATTGACCAATAGGATGAGCGTTCCCTGAACATTTTGAAGACGGCTTTTGGAACACTTTTTCCATTTGCTTTTGAACTTTAATTAAACTATTCGACAGAAAAAATTGTTCCCCATCGATCTACACAAGGTCGAGCTCGATAGCTTGCTCCATTTAGAAGCTATACGCATTTTTCTGAGACTCCCAAAATCGGTCAGGTGACGTTTAATCACTCTTAAATAGGTCACAATAGAAGTAATCCACAACGTCGAGTCTAATGGTGATGTTTGTTTTTTGTTTTAAAGCGATTTGAAATCACTATATCAAGATTTTTGAAAATCTAGTTTTACTGCTATGTGGTGTAGAGAACACATATATCAAAAATCCTGATACAGTAATTTCAAATCGCTTTGAAACCAAAAACAAACATGACTACTAGACTCAGCATTGTCGATTAATTCTATTGTGACCTATTTAAGGGTGATTGAAAGTCACCTGGCCGACTTCGGAAGTCTCAAGAAAATGCGTATAGCTTCTAAATAGAGCAAGCTATCGAGTTCGGCCTTGCGTAGATCGATGGGGAACAATTTTTTCTATTGAATAGTTTAATTCAAGTTCAAAAGAAAATGGAAAAAGCATTCAAAAAGCCGTCCTCAAACTGTTCAGTGGACGCTCATCCTATTGGTCAATAACTGATCAATCAAATTTTTTCATGCATTTATGTCCCTCCGGTGTCCTCTTCTTAATGATGGTAAACCGCAGGTCGTTAGCTGTTTGTGTTCTCAAGCTATTTCACTTGCAATCACTCGCCTTCTATTTTGAATCAGATAGTAGATTGTTTTGTTTTTGTGTTAAGATAATTTGATTTATTTTAGATTGCTAGTGCTATTGATCATTTACATAATAATAATATAATTTATCTTGATCTTAAATCAGAAAATGTTCTTGTTTGGAATATGCCACAACCACGTTTACCATCAAGTGGACAAGTCCTTGTTAAATTATCAGATTTTAGTATTAGTCGAGTATTATCATCAATTGGTAAGATTTTCATAAATTAATTATTAATTATAAACTTTGTTTTATCTATTAGGTACGAAAGGTTTTGCTGGTACTGAAGGTAGAGAAAATTATGCTACGAAAAATGTTTTCTAGATGTTTGTTCTTTTGATTTTCAGGATATATTGCTCCAGAAATTGTTCGATTTACTGGTGATGAGTTATATACTGAAAAAGTTAGTTTAATTTTATTTGTATGATATATTAGGAAATTTTCTTTTTTTTTCTTTTAGGCTGATATATTTTCTTTTTCTATGCTTATGTATGAATGTCTTTCATTAAATCATCCATTTAGTCGAAATAAACGTGATCATGCACGAGAATTAATTTTACATGGTTGGCGACCATCATTAACTGAACAGGTAATTATATAAATTTCATATTTCGATAGCAAACTCTTATTGATGTGATGTAATATTTTTGATTATGTCATTTTGTTCTTTTTTTCTTCTAGGAATTATCATCTCCAACATTGATTCTTGATTTAATGGTTGCCTGTTGGTCTGAGCATCCTCATGATCGTCCATCAGCAAAAGATATATATAAATTAGCAAGTTCATTAGAATTTCGACATTTAATGGATATAATTGAAATTGGTAATCGTGAAGAATTTAATGATTCAAATACATTAGCTGCTGTTTCTTATCGAGAAAGTATATGATGAATTTATTGCTTTTCTTTTTTTTCTTTTATTATTTTTAAAAATATGATTTAATTAGATAATGAACATGATGATAATGATGATGATGATATCGATATTCCAACTGCAGATTGTTGGCTTATTCGACAATCAAAACAAGAACAACAATCATCGATTGTTATTGTTGCTTATGATCAATTCAATGCTGTTAGTCAACAGGTTGGATTATAAACAAAAAAAAAATAGATTCTAATTTCGTGAAACACGATCTAAAACAAGCGTTGAAGTATACGAATCAAAATTTGAATAGCCTTCCACAGATCGTGACAGTCGTTGGTATTCGACTCATAGACAGCGAAATCGAAGAACTGTACGGACAACTCAAGTTAGATAAATTACAAATTGTCGAAAGTTTTCTTCGCCGTCAGTATCTGAACTTACATACCTAACAAAGATTTTGCAATAAAATAGGAAGCACCTGGCCTCGAAATCGGACCACTTTTTTATGGCCCAACTCGGGCCTGAAAGAAACTTCGTTTACAAAGATGTTTTTCTCAATAGACAGCTATTCCATATTTTTCAACTTTTATAAAAAGTGATAACCAGGGGGGGGGGGAGGCAGCATGGAGAAGCTTTTCCCTACCTCCGCTCGGGATGAGCCAAATCTCAGAAAAAGTTATGTCAAAAATGGATTAAATCGTCGGGTCGGGCGGTCCGTTTCGAGACCTAGGTACCTTTCATCTGAATGGCATAAACAGATTCGTCCCTTCCTATTCTTAGCTTCCTGGAAGGGATCTTATAAAGATTGTTGAGCCTATCCTAGATTCAAGAGTAGACAAAGTTAAGATTTCTAGCTTGTTTCATTCAAGAAGTATAGAAGTTTTCCAGAGACTTTCATTTTTGGTAAATTAAATCTCTGATCACTCGAAAATATCTCAAAATTCTCTATTAAATGATGATATTAATCTCGTTTTCAAAATGTTTCTCTATAATTTATGTGATCTATTATTAGCTCTCATATTTAAGTCCTACAAAACTTTTACTAATATAATTTTATTTTGCAAATATTTAGATAATTAATCTTGGCAATTGTGATATTCGTTCAATTTATTATCATAATCGTGATCATGTTATAATTTTAGCTGATCGTCAAAATATGATCTATATTTATTGTACACAAACATTTCAAAAATTAAATCAATTTCTTCTTGTACATCATCAAGAAAATGGTCATCCAATACATATGTCAAGTTTATCTGAAACATCAATTATTTTTTTACTTTTATCTGATAATTCAATATATAGTATTGATCTATCAATACTTTTACATCGATCAAGAAATTTAAATCCAATAACAGTTGATCTTTGTTATCGTTATGTAGCTAATGTTTCATTACCAACATTTAAAATTCTTGCATTACCAACAGCTAGTGGTCGAAAGTAAAAATTGATATTTTTTTTTTTTTTGTTTTTAAATAAATTAATTTTATTTATGAATTTCTAATAATATTTTAGTGTAGAAATTTGGTGTGGTTGTTCATTAGGAAATTTACGTATTATTGATGTTCGTACAGCTCAATTATCTGTTCAATTATCACATCAATTATTAACTGGTTCAAGTGCTGTACATTTACTTTGTGCATCGAAAAATTCACCTTATCAATATTCAATTTGGACTGCAATGAAAACCGGTATCTTCTTTTTTTTTACTTTGATATTTTAAAAAAAGATTTTTCATGGATCACAAGAAAAAACATGAAAAGAAATCATCTTAAGATTTACAAAGTAGTCATTAAAAAAGTCTGTATTAATCCTATTGCTGAGAAGTTTGATGATCGAATTTCGAATTAAAATGGATTATTATTATTTTTTGCTTAAATTTATTCAAATTTCTCTTAATATTTATCTAAATGAATCAATTCATATGAAAAGAAAAGTCCGCTGCTGAAGTATTTATATTTTGCTTTTTCTATAACTATTGATATACGTGATATTTCATTAGGTATGCAAAGTCCCATATATTCTTAGCAGACTTTATGTAAAGTAGAAATTTTTTGGACCTTTGACATTTGCTCATCGTATTTCGGTTTCTGTCAAGAAGGCTAATTCTCTCTTCACCCACCGCGAAATCGTGTCAGCAACACTGTACCAGAAACCTCTCCACTAGAAAGTGCCCGCTTATCTTAACACCCCTCCTACCGTCAAAATTCTGGCTTCACTATTAACGAGGAAAGGTCCTCAAGTGATAAACCGGTTTCAAGTTGGCACTATATTCAATTGATAGGGTCTAGTGAGTAAGTGATATATTCTAGAATGATTTGGGTTGCTGAGATCGCGAGTGTTTAGTAGATTTTTCAGCGAAATCATACTCGTTAGACCTTATCAATTCAATATAATGTCAGCTTAAGAATGACTTCTCACTTGAGAACTTTTCCTTGTAGGATAAACTTACTATTCTTCTATAATTTACCTTTGTCTTTTTTTTTTTAAATCAATTATTATTGTTTTTTTCTTTTGATTTATTATGAAATTAATTTTGTAGAAAGTTTTGTATGTATTTGGAATCATCTCTCTCGTCGTATGACTAATCAAATTGATTGTGCACAAATTATTAGACGATCTAATGGTTAGAATTTTCTTTTTTTTTTTGTTTATATATATTTTTATTTCTATTTTATTAGATGATTCAAATATAACTATTGATTCAATCTTACCTACTCGAATACTTGTATTTATTGGATTAAATACTGGTCATATAATTATTGTTAAATCATTAAATATTCAAGTTTTATATACTGTTCATGCTTATGATCAACAAATTTTACATTTATTTGCACTTTCTTCATCCGCTTTATCATCATCAACAACAGCAACAACAAATGAATTAAATGATAATCGATTTATAACACAATTTAAATATTTACAAGAAAAATTTGAATTACATCGATTTAATCGAGGATATAATTTTCGTACTCCATTTCTAACTAGATCTGATGATAATGATCTTGATAATATATCATATATGTTAGCTATTGGTTATGGAGCAAAACCATGTCAATCAATTTTACAATTACAAAAATATTCATCAGATTCAATTTTCTTACAGACATGGTCATTAGATGATTTTATTCTCTAATATTATATATATATCATATTTGACTTAATCGATATAGATAAATACAGTAATAGAACGAGTATTAACAACTTATTTCCATTCATCTGTGATACTCGACATTGAATTAATTAGATGATAATAATACTACATTACGTGAAAAACAAGAAATACCTTGTTTTGTTGTTTCTAGTCAATGTTATTATTTGATTGTAAATATATAATTATTAAATAAATAGATGAAATATTGAACAGTATTTTAGGAGAGAATTTTTTTTTGTTTCGATTTAATTATATGTGAATTGAAAAAAAAAAATAAAGAACTACAACTAAACATTTCATTCCTGATATCAATAAGTTGTTTATGTAAAAGTGATTTTTCTTTTTTGATTTCTATTTACTGTGAATCGATCTTAGTTCAGACACTTCAACAATAAAAATAGACGATTTTAACAAGTGTTTCATAGTGATTTCATTAACATTTGAAAGAAAAAAGAATTTGCATTAACTATACTCTTGTTTTCGTTTTGTTTTTAATCAGATAATGTTACAATGACCTTGAAAATTTTATTTGAGATAGTCAACATTGCAGATATACACATGTTTTACTTCAATATATGCTATTGTTCAGTAATTAATTTTGATGGTTCGCAATTCTTAACATTTTCTATTTTGAATGTTATACTCCAAGAAATTTTGTTTTTATAATACTGCTCGTGATTTTCATGTATTTATGAGAAAGTGTCGAATAAAAAAAAAACATCAAAGTTAATTACTCAATAAGAGCGTATTTTGAATTAAATAGCATTTGCTTGCAGTACTTCGAGAATACGTTAGCTATTTCTTGATGAGAAGTTAATATATCTTTTTATTAACGAAATGATCAATGAACAAGTTCTAAAAATTCGAAAATTTTGTCAAGATTCAAAAAATTTCTTGTAAATCATAAGAAATATTCTGCTGTAATCAATATAATAATTTGTTTAATTTAATAGTAATTCAAAAAGATTTTTACTTATTTAAATAATAAATTCGAATTGTCTTTTATCTGTAGGATTTTATTAAAAACTAAAACTAATGTAATCGAAAATCTATCACGATTAACATTGAAATTATTCAATATAACTAATTAATATCGTTACCATTCAATTTTGAAAAATTCAAAAAAAATTTTTAGTAAAACATAACAAATTAACATATCTACTCAAAAGAATTATTTAGCATGCCAAATAGTCCTAGTACTGTATTGGATATTAGTGAAAATCGTTTTTTCTACTGATAAACTGAACTTAATCAAAGAAACGATGAGAACTAAATTGCCGAATATTCAAATAATTTATTAAATAGAATGATAACAATATGAACATTAATCATTGTTTTGAAATAACAAAAAAATCTTGTTATTGAAACTGATTTTAATATAAGAACAAATGTCGAAAGCAAAATATTCTTCTAAATATATCAATAAATACAAATTGAGTTTTTATTTGAGAAAACAATTCTTCGGTCAATTGATCATGATCAGCAATGATTTCAAATCTTCAGTACTTCAATTTTTCCATACTTTACAGCACTGTCTTTTATGTAACACAAGTCAAAAGTGATGCGTTTACGTCGTGTCGTTTTCTGCTATGCTGTAAAGTGATGAAAATGAAGAGAGAAATGGTCTTAAGTCGGGTGTTTCTACATAGGATGATGAATCACAACGAAATGTTGTGAACTATAATGAAGTAAATACGCTGTTTTTTTTTAATGTTATCTAGGTTTCAGCAGCTTTATGAGGACTCAAACTTATGAATTAATTGAATCAATGACTCCATGCCTGAGTAGTCAATAAAAATGTATATGCGTCTTTAGGTCTACGCATTCGCCCTTATGTATCAAATATGGCTCGTTTTTTGGCAGCTGTACCATCGAAAAAAATTTTGGTTGATATACTCATTAAATTTTTGAATCTGTACAAATTCAAATATAAAATAAATTAACATGAAAATTATTGTTATATCAGTATGTATATGAGCCTGTTAAAGCATATTAAATTGAATATTTTTTCATCACTCTTTCGATTTTAAGTTGTCATTCACAAACGTCAGTGTTGATTAGTGGGCATTTTTTTTTAAAGAAATATTATAGTGCAAATGATTTGAAAAAAAAATAGCAAAATGAATTTCTTCAGTTACTGTTAGACACGATAGCTGAGCGGTTATGCCGTCTCTATCTAGTTTTCTAGGAGCATATAGGATAGACAATGTAGTTATGATATAACATTATTCCGAATACTAGCGACATCCAGATAAGTGACACATGTTATTGTTTTAATTGGATTATTGTTTATCGTACAAAATATTTCCCCTTGTCGGTTTTGTTATTCAATAGAATTTAATACGGTACTTGATTTTTCTTTATGAAAAATTATATACCATATCCAATAAAGTCGTTTAGTTCTACATCTTGAAATATTTTTCATGTAATTGTAAATTTGTTTTTTGTATTAAAGATGCATTGTTCATTTTTTATTCTCTTGGTGATGACGATCATTAATCTTATTTCATCTAGTCATCATTCCAATCCTGGACATCTTCAACCATTTGGTACAGTTGGATCATTAATAAATATTGAAGAAATAAATGGAGAACATCTAAATATATTAAAATTTTTTACAAATTATATATCAAAATTAGAACCAATTGTTTTTCGTCAAGTATTAATTAATAATATACATTATAATATATGGCAAACTGATGAACAACTTGAAAATGAAATTGATGGTTTATCAAAAATAAATATTTATGTTGAATCATTAAAACAACGACAACGAATTCAAATGGAATTTGGAGATTTTCTTGATAAATATGAAAAAGAAAGTTTATTATTTGCTGATAATTTACCTGAAATTCTTCGGTAAAATAGAGAAATTTCAAATAAATTCATATGATTACAATTTTTCATATTTAATAGACAAAATTGTTATAATAAGAAAAATGAATAGATTTTTTATGCAAATCTAGGACGATGAGTATGTAGTTCATAGATAGCTCAGTAGTATGATTGTATATCTCGGTGGTGGTTGAATTCATTAGGTACAAATTCTTCCCTAACAAATAAAGACAAAAGGTATCAGACCTAGAACCTATCGAGTTGGTCCTGGAAAAGTATCCTTGATCTTCAGAGTAAACAGCTTTGTCGAAATTAGGAGTAGTATGATTTGGCTTCGGGGTTCAAAAATTTTGGATTCGACCGGCTTCTTAACAACACTCCTCTAGACTTCCTGGGAATTTAAATAGTTGGAATATATTTTTGAATTTTTCGGAATAGCTTAAGGATCTCCATAGAAAATCGAATCTTTTGAAGTTGAGTTTTAATATATAGCTTTTTGGAAAATTACCATATTTTCGCGTTTTTTGGTTTTCAGTTTTGAAAAACTTGCATTATCATTGAATAGAATATTTTTATATTAATCAGCATGTCAGATGGCGTTAGTTATTTCTATCTATTACGTAATTTAAAATGATCCACTGGAATATATTGAAAATATTCAATTGTAATATGATTTTTGTTCTGGATTTGAATGAAAAAAATCCATTTCTAAAACTTCTTTAGCATTTTTCTCAAAACACGATTTCTAGACAGGAAAATTGAAATAACTTCCACTTGGATCGGATACAATCGATGTTTTTTTTTTTGCTTTTAAAATGCTTATAAAAAATGATGAATGGAAAAGAGTTTCAAAATTTTGTCCGATGAAAAGTTATGGATAGATGCTAGCTTTAATTTGAAATCAGCCCGAGTTCTCTGTATCCTACAGAATTATTTCAATTCTTTTGGGAAGTAGGAAAACATGTTGGAAGTTCGATCTAGTCAGACTGAAATTTTTATCACTAGAATTTCTCATTAGGATCAATCGTTTCTAAACATTTCAGTCCAAACGGTCTATTCCAAGTCATCCTTGGACTGCAGTTTTTTGTTCTATTAGTATAATAGAATACAAAATTTTAGATTTGATGAATTAAATCTTAGGAAAAGTGAAGTACATCAATATGAATTTTATTTTTTAGTAAATATCTTGTCGTTCCACAACCTTTACAATGTGATGAAGTTTTACCTACATTACAATCGGCAGTTCGTATTGATCTTAATTTTTTTCCTAAAATAATGTTTTAATTTTTGTATAGATTCTCGTTATAAATGGTAAAAATACATCACCATTAATGTTCAATCAAGAATATGATTCTATACTTTGTCTTCTTCGTGGTAATAAACGTATGGTACTTGTTAATACAAATAAATATCCTGATGTTCGTCAAGTAAGTAAAATAAAAAATCTTCATGATTTATTGAAAATAATTTTCTCTTTCGAAGATTATTATTCCAGGCAATCGACAATCTCGTAGACCACCGATTAATCCAGAAAAGTAATTTTTTTTTTTTTTGAAATACGATCTACAAAAGAATATTGAAGTATAGAAATAGAAAATACATTCTTCTTAGCAATGCTTCTTCCTTCTATCGCATGAGAGACGGTTGTACTTTGAAAAGATGATGAAGAAATATGTCCTAAGATAGATAGAATAAAGTAATCTTCGTGTAATTAACAACAATAACTATATCATATTTTAATTGTCGAAGGAATTGTACTAATAGATTTATTATATTTTTAAGAGTTGATTTTAATCAATATCCTGAATTAGAAAATATTGATTATTATGTTACTAATTTAACTGCTGGTGATTGTTTATTTATACCAAATGAATGGATATTTCAAGAACGTTCATTAGATAAAACAATATCGATTATATATAATATTGATCATAAACAAATATTAAATATTAATATAGATGAAATAAAAATTTGTTCAACAAAAAATACATTTGATTCTTCATTTACACTTGATCAAATTGATTGGTCAAAAATAGAAAATGAACCACAAAATTTAAAGTAAAAATGAAGAAATAATTTTTTTTATGTTTTTATTTTTATTTTTTTTATTGATAGAGAAATTATCATACGTTTAGTTAATTCACAATCAAATAATTTTGAAAAATGGCAAGAAACATTTTCGAAAGTAATTTTTCATAATTAATGAAAATAATTTTAGAATTTACTTTTTTTTGCGTTTTTCTTAGTATTTTTCATTCGATTTATCTTCAGATTCTGAAACAGCAGCTATTTTTGATGAAGTATATAATTCAATGTTTATAAAATAAATATATAATTTATTTCTTTAGTTCTATGGTATTATTGATATAGATGGTAATGGTGAAATAACAATGAATGAAGTTGAACAAATTAATGGAGCGGTAATGTGGAAAATTTTACATGTTTTTTCTTTTTTTATAAAAAAAAATTCTTTTTATTTTTTAGCATCAACATCACATTTCTGACGTTCTCTATGAAATGATAAAATTAGCTCATGATAAACAAAAAGATGATTTAGAAACAAAAATTAATATAGAAGATGAAAATACACAAGAAATATTAGAAAATGAAGAATTAGAAGATACAGAAAATGAAAATATGGACGAACATTTACATTTACAAAATTTTAAAACTGATTTATAATTTTAATTTTTGTTTTATTTTATTTATTCAATTAAAAAATATAAAATCTCAAAATTGTTTTCTGTTTTGTTAAAAAAAAAAAAAAAAACATCTTTATATATTCATCAGTAATTTGTTGCAATATCAACACATGTCTTGTCTTTCAACATCTTCTTCTTCTTCTTCTTCAGATAATTTGATCATGAGCGATCGATTTTTTAAAAATAATTATCATGATTATAATGGTGAACAATATCTCGGATCTGATAATCGAGTTTGTTATTTATTAATTCTTTTGTCAATAATTATTTATTTAATTTTTATTTAGTTAGTATCTCAATTAGAATCAACTATAACTCAATGGATTGGACAATATTTACATAAACTTGAACAAAATCTCAATCGAACTGATCCAACTGATGGAACAGTTTATACTGGTAGTGCAGGTAATAAAAAAAAACAAGAAATCAAAAAATTTCTTTATTGAATGTTGTTTTTTTTTTTTTAATTTAAAATACTAGGTATTGCATTACTCTACATACATCTTGCTAAACTTTTACCAGATCAAAGAAGTAATTATATATCAAAAGCAAAAACATTAATTGATTCAGCATTAAAACAACGTGATGGTAAAAAAAAAATAATTTCAATTATTATTTAATTTTATATATATATATATATATAAATTCAAAATTAGGACGAGTCATAACATTTTTATGTGGTGATCTAGGACCATTATCAATTGCAGCAGTAATTTATTATAATTTAGGTGATCAAAAAACATCCGATAAATTTATTGAAAAGTAAGCAAATATATAGAAAATAATTAAATGAATTTCTTCTTAGAATTTTATCTATGAAGAAACATGCATTAAGTCATTCAAATCCAGATGAATATTTATATGGTCGTGCCGGTTATCTTTATACATTAATATTTCTTCAAAGAGAAATTGGACATCATATTATCGATAATCAACATATTACTGATGTAAATAAAATAAAACTTTTTGTTTTTTGAAATTCAATTATTTATTTTTAAGATATTTGAAGCTATGATTAAATCAGGTGAAAAATATGCACGACAAACAGGTTCAACATCTCCATTAATGTATCAATGGCATGATTCAGAATATTTGGGAGCAGCACATGGTGTTTCTGGAATAATTTATCTTCTTCTTAAAGTATAAATTTTTCTTTTTGTTTTTCTTTTCAATATTCAAATATTGAATAGATAGCAAATCATGAATCATTTCCTCATCTTCGATCATATATTGATTCACATTTATTACCAACAATTGAATTTCTTAAATCAAAATGTTTGTCAAGTGGTAATTATATGTCATCAAGTGATAGTAAATCAGATAAACTTGTACAATGGTGTCATGGTGCACCCGGTTTTGTTTATTTATTTAATCGAGCATATGAAGTAAGTTTAGAAAAAAAAAAAAAGAAGTCAACTTTCATAATGTTTGATTGATGAGAAAATCTTTATTTGAGATATTAATTATTCTCTATTGACACACACATACGTATCAACATCTGAAATATTGTGCATACAAAATCTAACAAACATAAAGGTGATAGTTTGCTTTCCCCTTCGACAGACGTTGTTGATATACGATCAATAATGTCTTGTTATAATATATGAACTGTTTCTTTATTGCATTTCGAGAGAATTAAGTAAAAGGATAGTGAAGAAATGTGTCTTAAAATAGAACGAATAAAAGAATCGTGTTTCATATTTTAATCCCGTAGAGATTGCGCTAATAGATTTTTTAAGGTCTCCCTAAAAAAAGTCACTTTTCGTCAGAATCATCGAAATTGAAATAAATTCATGAGGGAATAGCCTCTTCATCTGCTCTTTCATATGCGACAAAAATTTTGGAAAACTTTCTTCACTTCCTGTTCGAAAAACAAGCCGAAAATCATTTTTTTCGTTTGTCTTAGAAGAACGTGAGTTTGATTATGCATCTCCAGCGGCACTCTACTACAACATGATATAAAGTCAAATATTTTTTTTTGTCGTTTGAAACTGCAGTGTCTATGAGATTAGAACGCCATTTTTAGAGAGTTTTTTTCTTTTGAGTCATTGACCTTTCGATTCTTTTTTTTTCTCTTAAAAAGTAAACGTTTAAAAAAGGACTCTCATAGGCACACATGTTCTTTCAAACAAAAAAAAAATACTAAATGTATAGACTGAAGACCACAGAGAATTTTTGGACCCTTGTTTGGCTAATATCTCCATCAAACATCAGGGTACAGAGCTCTTTGAAAGAAACTGTGTATCATTGAAAATTTATACAAATTATGTCAAAGTAGAAGCTGATTCATGTCCTAGAGATAATCCTTAAGATTCTGTTATTAGAAGAACTCGAGGTGTGAGAGTAAGCAAGAATTTGAAATTTACTTCTGTATCAATCTTTTAGTAAGTTTAAAATTAAAAAATAGCTAAATTTTTTTGAAAAATAAAAAGATTAATAATTTCAGAAATCAGATAAAAACATGGACAAAAAAAGAACATTCTCCTTTTTGGAGTGTATGATTGTGTCGATTCTCTTATGGAAACTTTGCATGATTCTTGTAAATACAATATTTACTATTGAAGAGAAACTATTCACATATAATCCTTATTTTATTTGTTAATATTTACTTAAAGATTATTAAAAACGAACATTTTATTCTATGTTGATAACAAATGAAATAAAGAGCAAGTTTTTCTCAAATTAAAAGATTCCCAAAAACAAGGTAGTAGCATCTAAAACTTCTCAGATATATCTTATAAAATCTAGTTATTTTATGAAAAATCATATATACAATGAATTCAAATAGTGATTTTTGTAGAAAATTTTCGAAGATGAAAAGGATTGCTTAGCTTATACGAATAGGGTTTTCGAAGTTTTTTAACTCATATAATTCTGATTGAATTATTCAGAATGATAGAATAAATATTAACAGAGTTATTTTTCTCTTAGATAACTGGTAACAGTTCATATATACAACGAGCTTCATCAGCGGGTGATGTTATTTGGGAGCGTGGACTTTTAACAAAAGGTTATGGTCTTTGTCATGGTATAGCAGGTAATGGTTATGCATTGCTTGATCTATATCGTGTAACACAGGATCCAAAATGGCTTCATCGAGCAATAAAAGTTAGTTTATAAATTTGAATTTTTGTATTAATATACATTTTTTGTTTTTTGCTATTTTTAGTTTGCTGAATTTTGTTTGGATTATGGAAAACATAATTTAGCAAGAACACCAGATCATCCATTTTCACTTTTTGAAGGTAAAATATTAATATTTTGTTTTTTTTTTTTGTAAGATAAAATTTAATTTTCTTTGTTATTTTTTAGGTTTAGCTGGAACGATTTATTATATGGCTGATATACTTACTCCAACATCTGCTCGATTTCCAACATTTGAATAATTAAGAGAAAAAAAAAAAGATATTTAATTCAAGCTGAAATTTTTTCACTTGTAAAAAAAAAAACAAACATTTTTTCTTGTAATGTTAACTCAACATATTATTGATCTGTTATATCACGCACATAGATTTTTTTTATTCATGAATCTCAATGAATTAAATACTGTATTTTAGATATGTCTACTCCAATGGATACATCATCACTTCCAATAAAAAATAAATCTAATCAATTAACATCAACATTAACAACAGATTATATAGTAGGATCTGATCTTATATCAATCGAAGGTTATCGTCAAGATGGACGTAAACCAAATGAATTACGTCATTTTCGTGTTTCATTTAATGTTGTACCTGATGCTGATGGTTCTTGTTATATGGAACATGGAAATTGTAAATTACTTGCAACAATATATGGACCATATGAAGGTGAATCACGTTCAAATCAAGAACAAGCTATAATTACATGTGATTTTAGTATGACATCATATTGTGTTAGTGAACGTCGTTTAAGAACATTTGGTGATATGAAAAGTCAAAGATTACAAATGGCTATACAAAGAGTTTTTCAACAAGCTATAATTACTGAAACATATCCAAAATCACAAATTGATATTTATTTAAAAATTTTACAATCAGATGGAAATGATTATAGTCCATGTGTTAATGCAACAACATTAGCATTTATTAATGCAGGTGAAAAATGTTCGATTCCTCTTTGGAAACATTATTTATTTATTTATTTTTTTTTGGCAAAAAAGGAATTTTTATAAGATAGTTTTGATAATTTCTATACATATAAATAGAGGTTTGTATGAGAACCGTTAGAAAAATTTCCGGGCTGATTTTATTAAAAAACAATAATAATCGCTGCTATATTTGTACTATTGCCTATGCGTGGTTCATACAGTTCTCTATCTATAGACATCATAAGCTCAGTTGAATTAAACATATATATATATATGAAAATATAGCAATACAATTTAAACCACTGTCTAGACACTGATGAAAAATTAAAACCTTGAGGAAAGTTTTATGTTTTGAAAGACTAGTTGCTATTCAATATTTATGAATATATGGTAAAAATTTACACTGATAATGCTCTATTACATATTATAATATTTGAATAGAATCGTCGTTTTAAAGACGAATAACTAAATATCAATGATCGTTCTAGATATGATCGATACGTGGTTAACATCACATTAGAAAATATGACATATCTATGAATTGACTTTAGTCATATATAATTAATTACAAAATGCTATATACTGTAAATATAACATACGAACAGTGTCTGTTATTTATCTAGATGCGATTCGACCTTCTTTAAATCATCAGTCTTCTAAAAGTTTTTAACAGTCATGTTATTGATATCTAGATTATTGTCGACGTATGAATATTCATCATTACAACAATAATCTCATTCAGAAACCGCAATGAGTGATAGAGAATCGAACATCGTAAACTATTGTTATACATTCATAGATATTAAATTAGACATGGCTTTCTAGAGCAGGAAATTTTATCATTGAGTGATGATCAAAATTTTTGTTTTTTCGAACAGTGTCTAGACAGTAGTTTAAAATCTATTTCT